ATACAGATGTACATCCGTCGGTTTCCATGTAAAAAAAAAATTATACACGGAACCATCAGGTATGTATACACGCCAATTACAAACAAACACACACACACATACACACATACATTGACACACACAGACATACACACACATACATACATGCATGTGGTACAAACAATTGTGCATTCACGTACAAAACATAAGCGAGTATGCACACACAAAACAGTAGACAAACACGCTTTTAATGACGCATTTAATGTACGCCAACGTGGAGAACCTTGAGTAAGCACGCAAACCTTCTTACGATCCTTTCCTTAATCCTTTAGAAATGAAGTGTGTGCATGTGCGTGAATATGCCTGCGCGTGTAAGTGCGTGGAACAACATAACCCCTTGGCAAGCATGAGTCTGTCGTATCGTTTGTTGTGGTGAGTTGTTTGGGTGTCGGTTGGTTTTGTCGGGTTGTGTAGTTGTTTTTTGTCGAACTGGCAGTAGTAATTTTTTTGTGTTGCTCGTTAACGAAGCCTGTGCCTACGTCCGTGCTGTTTGTTGTTGTGTTTGTTGCTGTGTTGTTGTTTGACTGTGAATATTACATATTCTGGTGTTGTTGTTTGTCAATAAAGCTTGTTGAAGAGTACTACCGTCTGAGATTGTCGTTTGATGTGTGGTCACAACGCTGTGTAAATATGAAATTGTGTCGGTTTTGTTGGCCATTACTTTTCAGAGGTTTTGTGGTGATGCGTCTTAAAGATCTTTGTAACAACCCTTGCGTGCAACATATATTTCGCTTCTTATGGAGTTGGTTATGGTGAAATACGTATGTTTGTTTGTTTGTTTGTTTCGTGATCTAGATGGTTGTGACGGTTTGTTGTTGCCGTGTGCTGTTTTGTTGTGTAGTTTTTTCTTCTATGTGGTAGCAATAGTTGTCGCAATAGTGAAACATCATGTTGTTCTTTGTTGTACTCAGTGTGATGTTGTATCAGGTTGTTGCTGTGTGTTTTATCTCTTTACTGGTTTGTTGTGATGTGTTTTCGGGTTGTTGTGTTTGTTGTTGCGTTGTTGTTGTGTTTGTTGTTTGTTGCATTGTTGTTGTGTTTGTTGCATTGTTGTGTTTGTTGTTATTGTTGTGTTGGTTGTTGTGTTTGTTGTTGTGTTGGTTGTTGTGTTTGTTGTTGTTGTGTTCGTTGCTGGCGAAGGAACAGCTGACACGTTCTGTGAAGTTTGTGGTGCGAGTGCGGTTATGCTAATCCCTCCGACTATTTCAACATAACGTGATGATAATTTACTCGAACGTTTGCGAGTGACGTGGCGATGATAATGAAAATGATGACGATGACGACGATGACGATGAAAATGTTAATGATAGCATGTTAATGATGATAACATGTAAATGGTGATAACATGGGGTTACGGACTAATGATATTACCGATGGCAGTGATGACGAGAGAGACTGCATGTAGTATTCCTGGTGATGATGTTGTTGATGATGTCACTGATGACGATATAAAAAAAGCGTGGTGAAGTGAAAGTCAAGATGATGCCTTTTTTTACGATGTCAAATGATGATGATGATGATGATTGTGATGATGA